CATTTAATATTTTTATTTCTAGACTTGGGTCTACTGTGTTTCCTTTGTTCAGAAAAGAAAACACACAGGGTAACCTTTTCTGGGATGTCGCATTTAAATTTGACATCATAATAAGTGATTTTCCATGAATGCCATATAGCATCTATAGGCACACAATGTAAATAAAATAGCAATACATGTCTGGCTTATATCAGGAAATAAAGTGGTTGAATGGCCAGTTGGTTGACTTTTGCCAAGGCGTTTAATGAATTTCCAGCGACAGAAGACTGTGTACAATTCCCCAATTTATTGTGTTTAATTGTCTTTTTGATTTACTTGTAGATGGAACTCTCCCCGTTTAATCAAATCTGGTTTGAAATCCTATTTATCAGTCCGAAGCCCGCTCCAGCCTATGTGAAGTCGTAACCCCTTTCTGTGTCCTCAAGCTACAAACCACCCAATTTCTTACAACCTTCCTTTTATTTATGACTGGAAAAGAATGCTGTTTATCTGTTCGAGTCCCTCCATTCAATCAATTCTGTTCCATTGTTATTCCCAAGCGGTCTCCGCGTTCTAGTGCTCCAAAATGAGCCCCTTCCATATATTCTTTTATATGTGTACATTGCATATACTTTCATCTGCCCTGTTCCCATTTTACACCAGCTCCAAAAGTCAGTGGTCACTGTTTTATTTTTTATCTTTTTTTTTCCTGGAAAGTGAGATCAAATGGCCGCTGCCCCAATACCAATTTTGTGGATTTAAAAGCACATTAAATGCCCCCAGTGCAGTTGTGCAGCTCTCTCCAAAGCCCACAACAGCCAGGGTTTGATATAAATAAATTATGAGGGAAAGTAGTAAAGAAATGTTTAAAAAATGAACACAATACTTATGGTGCACCAGAGACTGGAGCAAATAACAAGCAAACACTGTGAATCAAAACCGAACAATACAAAATGTGTGTAAAACATTCGGGCAGCGAATCCACAATCTGATCATAAAAATAACACGAAATAAACATTGAAAATAGAAGTAAAACCATTTTCTTTTTATCTGTACAGTAATCTAGTTTAAATTAGCTATATGGAGATAATGTATCTTTATTTCTTTCAAATTATTACAATTAAAGAGTTTGTAAAATATTTGAGTAAATCTTCTGAGTTGTACAAGTATAGATGTATCAATATTACAAATATATCAATCTAAATATTATATCATGGAATTTAGGGCTGTGCTTATTTTATGTCATTGGATTTCATTTTGTTTGTACACTTCTTTTTTTTTTTTTTTAACGATAAACGGGTTGTCATATAATCTCAGGGAATTCAAAGTGACACTTTGCTCTTCTGATAGTATGGTATATTATAATTACTATTCGCTTAATAAAATAAAGTGTATTGAGGAGGAATGGATATGGTACATCCAAACCACCAGTGTTCATAATTGTAGGAGTTCAGGTCAGCCTAGAAGAGACAAAATACTTACAGCTTGTACATTGGAGGTATTGGTGTCTAATTAGATTACTGAGACATAGGCAGGGAAGTTCAGGAATACCTGATCCTAAGCTGACAATGGCATCCTGTATCCCCTTTGTTCCCTGGTTCACCCTGACTGTGCTGTTTGACAAAAGCCTGATCTTGACCCTCTTCTTTGTATCATGTAATGACTCCTATGTGTCCTCATACCTGCCTCTGAAATCTGCCATTTCTTCCAGCTACAAAAGTTGTGTCCTGCCCAGGTGAAGAGTGTGGAACCTGCCCTGAGCCTCAGCACAACATCTCCTCTGTGTTCCCTTTACTTACTGCATGATAAATAGCTCTTTCCTTGTATTTCGTTACCTTCTGGTGACCAGACATCTCCCATCTCTAATCCCCTGGCTTGCTTTACTTAGTAGGGGCCAGTGGCCAGTTCAGTGTCCTGTGGAATAGCCCCATGCAGGATCCCTCTGCTCCATAGACAATAGAGGAAATCTGAAGAATTGTTCTATTCAAGCAGCTCCTATAGGGCACCAACAACGATATTGTTAGCCGGAGGCTGTTTGTTCCTACCGTCCGAGCCCAAACAAACTATAATTGCTCTTATCTGTCATGTTCAGCCAAACATATAATACAGATCTGCTATTTCTCCGCACCGAACGTCTGCTCTCCATTGTTGCTCACACTAATTCGTTTAAACCTGTATCTCCGACCCCATCACATCTGTACTGAGTTCTATATTCATGTAACAAACGGATTATTCTACATCCCATCTTGGCCTTTTTTGTGGGAAAAGGGGGACATTTGTTTGTTACTTATTTCTTTGTTCTAACAATTCTCTCTCCTTGTAATCCTTTTTGCAGTTCTTTTTTTTTTGTGTGTGTGCTTTTCCAAATCCAGATATTCGTCCTTTCAAAGTCTTCAAAGGGGATAATCCCGGAGAAGATTAGTTTATTTAACTGTACCAATTGCAAAAGTCCAACACGAGCGGAGAGGGAGAGACTCAGCCGAATAAAGCGGCTTACCTTAAAGAGATCACCTAATGAAGGAGATTTCATTGTAATTACACAGAATGAGCACGCAGGGCTCGGGTTTGCCTGCTGGAAACAATGTAAAGGGTGTTTAGTTCTCACCTGAAGATGTTTTCTGGGGTCACCATTTTTCTTAACGCTTTAAAACAGCTCGAAGCGTTCTAAAATGTCCCGAAACGTTCTAAAATGCTCCGAAACGTTCTAAAGCGTTCCAGCGCGTTTTAAAGGGTTCTGACACGTTCTAATGTCAACGCTGCACCCAGATCACACAAAAGGGCACTCATTAAACTGGAAATGTGAATTTGTATAGTCAGTAATCGGATCATTTCGG